ACGGGACAGAGCCACTGTGTAGGGACCTGAGAGAAACAGAAGGGAGGTTAAGGGGGCATCTTCCTCAGAGACACCCTGGGGGTCTTTATGTGGACATAGATGCCCACAGGGCCTTCTAGTCCCCAGGGCCTTTGGAGCCTCACTGAAGGTCAGCATAACCAGGACATGGATTGATGGAGGAACAGTACAAGGACAAAGAGCCAGTCTCTTTCCAGCAGGAGTGGAGAACTGGTGTCATCACAGTCTGGCCTACTGGTCAGTGATAGGTCAGTGTGGCAGCCTCCTGGGAACTTTCCAGAAGAGCAGTTGACTGTACCCCACTCTTGAGGTTATGCTGACGTATAGCTCAGTGGACTTGCTAAAGGATACCCGCCCCCATGTAATTCAAGGGTGCAGACAAGATGGGGCCTCTGGTCTGGCACCCAGAAACATGTGGGGGGGCCTCTCTGGCCACCAGCCACTTTCTCTAGCCCAAGAATCCAGGACTTAGTGGTAGAGACCAGACCTCCTCAGCCATCTGCTGTGCTAGCCAGGCTGGAGACAGTACCCCAGTTCCAAAATAGGGCCCCTCTGGGTTCCCTAGGGGCTTTCGGTGGGAAGTGGCATGTGCTGAGCTGGGAGCCAGATTCCCGGGCTTTATTGATGGAAATGGTAGGTTGCAGCCTAGGTCTGGGGTAAGGCAGAGCCTCTCTCCAGATGGCAGCGGGTTCTGAGGTGAGAAATGTCTGTTACTTGCAGCTCTGAGGCTCAGGCAGACTGCCTGAGAGGCTTTCTTTCAAGACAGGCTTCTACTCACCTCCTCTGTAAAGAACTATGATCATATAGTTTAACAGTAGGATTTTTTGGTTAGCTGCTTGATTTGGGGGTTTTGGTTTTATAGTGTATTACTGTGTAACTCAGATTACTCCCTCCCTCTATCCTCTATCCTCTATCCTCTATCCTTCCTTTCTTCCCTACCCCCAAGGATTAAACCCAAGACCTTGTACATACTAGGCACGCATTCTAGAACACCAGTATCTCCAAACTCTGTCTCCAAAGCCCTGTCCTCAAACTCATTTTTCTCCCTCAGCCTCCTTGCCTAGCTTCATAAGCAAACCTGGAGACAAACCCAGCTCATTCATTTAGGAGGTGATCCTATAGGGACAATAACTATGGGGACAGGAAATGGGGACAGGAGAGGTGGACATCCCAGGTGTGTGTGTGTCATTGAGCAAGTTCGCACTAGGGTTAAGAGGAGTCTGCCTAACGAGAAGGGAGTAGGGTGTTTACACACCAATTCTCAGCATCCCTTTGCTAAGGAGACAAATTAAATCATTGGCCTTCAGCTAAGGCAGATGGGTAGGTAGTCAGATGCGAACCAGGTACAGCCAGGTGAAGCTGTGGGACCCTCCAAAGAAAAGGAACCATAGACTCAGCCAACTGCTTCAGGGAGAATCAACTAATCCCTGGTCTTCGACTCTGTGGCTGGGAGAGCATGGTACTTTACAGGTGCTGATAATTTACAGCGCTTTTCCCTGGAGGACTTTTAACAAGCCTCTATCGATAAATGTAAAGCATACGTGTATTTGTTTTCCCCTAAATGCCGTCCTTTGTCATATTCTCAGCATAGTTGTCTTTTCCATGTTTTGTTGGAGTCGTTGTTCTGTCGGGGAAATCATATGCCTCATATGTAACACCCTTTTCGGTGTACTGCTTTCGTTTTTATCATTGTCTCTTTTTTCAAATAGAAAAATGAGCAGATGATAAAGACTATTTTATTATAACACATTTGTTCACGTAGATTGTTTCCAGTAACTTTATTGAGGTGTGGAGCACTTCAGTATGAAATTGAACAATCCTGGTCTAAACATCAGGAACCAGTTGTGTAGGGGCAGTATTTTCACATCTCTTGGGTCTAGACCTAGGAATGGCTTAATTGAGTTTATGGTAAAGTTCCAAACTGATTCCAAAAGTAGCTGTATCATCCCTGCCAGTCTGCTAAATATTCCAGTTCCTCTAAATATTTATCAACGTAGTCCATCTTTTTCCTTCTAGCCAGCCTATACTCGTGTGAAATGCTATGTTCACAGGTGTGCAAGTTCCAAGAATTTTTAAGCTATTTGCTTGCTTGTTTACTTATTTATTAGAGAGCACAGGTGTTTGATGTAGTAAGCATTTGGGGCGCCATGATGACCAAGTGGAGATTCGAGGAGACTTTGTAGAGTCAGTTCTCTCCTTCCACCTTTACATGGGCACTGGGAATCAAACCCATGTGCCTGGCAAGTACAGTTAGCTGCTGAGCCACCTCCCCCACCCAAAGCAAAACATTTAAAAATCTCTTAATTAAAAATTATTATTTAGGGGCCAGCGATGGCTTGGGGTTTAAAAACACTTGCTGCTCTTACAGAGGATCTGAGTTAAGTTTCTGAACTCATGTTGGGAAGCTCCCCAGTGGCTGTAACTCCAGCTCCAGGGGATCTGATGCTCTCTTCTGACTCCCGTGAGCATCCCACACGCGTGTGCATGCGTGCGCACACACATCTTGTACACATAAAAAAAGCAAAATAAATTTTAGTGATAGTTCTTGTAGGCATATATTTTTATGCTACTTTATTTGGGTTCTTATATTTACCATTCTTCTTCCCCCCAATCCCTTTCAGTACCCCAACACCAGGTAGGAGAGACAGAAGGTTAATGGGTAGAGGGGGCATTGAGTTTTTTGGTTTTTTTTTTTTTTTTTTTTAGACTACTTTCTGTTTACTAAGGGTGTTGAGTTCCTTGGGGCAAGTCCAATCTTTGTCTCATCAGGGTATCTCCAACTTCTTGTCTCTTTTCTCTCAACCACTTGGGAAACCAGCAACAGCAGGAGCAGGAACCAGAAAGGAGAACAGTCTGGCCTCTTTTTGGGCTCTGGTCTTTTTATAGACCCTCTGGAGTTCCCAGAACTAAACTGTCTTCCGCTGGCAGAATCACGCCCCTGCCAGAGCACACACAAGGCAAATAGTCCGCTGTCATGAGCAATCTGAAGCAGCCCCATATCCCTGGGATTAAAACAAAAACATGTTAACATAGCATAACTGGGTTTTTAAAGACACCAAAATTCTCACTGCAAGTTCTTTAACTGGCTGTGTTGTAAAATACCACGGATTAGTGAGTTTTATGTGAACATAAAGCTCATTTGGGCTCTATTCCATTCATTTTGTCATTTTTTTTTCTGTTTCTAACCCAAGTGTCTTACAGTGATGGTGACTCTAGCGTTACTATATTGTGAAGCTTTCCCCACACGCCCGCCTGCCTATTCACAAAATGGTCTTTTATGAAATTGCCTTCCGTTTTTCTGTCTTGTGTGTTCCTGTGAGTTGACCCCGGGCTCTTGCACTTGCTAAAATCCATGCATATGTGCTCTGCACCAAGCCGCAGCCCAAGCTCTTAATTACCCAGTTCTAACTGAAAATGCCCCACACTGTAACGTTTGTACCCAATAGCCAGACGGTTTTCCCTTTTCTCCAAATGACTGTTCTTATCATCGCACCGAATACACTGGAATGTCGTGCTGGGCTTTCAGGGGCATTGCCTTCTGCCTGAATGTCAGTTTAGAGGGTTTATTTTTCCCCCTTCTACTTTCTGTGGCCACAGGCAGGTGTGTCTTCGTCACTTCATGTTGCTTAACAGAAGTTCATAGTCTGGATGTCAGTTGCTGCTCACGGTCTCAGAAACTGGGAAATCCCAGATCTGGGTGCCAGCACATCCAGTGTCTGGGGAGGGTTCACAGCTGCCCGCTGTGCTTTCATGGGGCCGAAAGAGACAGTGACTTCCTGTATCTTTTTAAAATTTTTTAAAAATGTATTTTCACTTCATGTGCTTTGGTGTTTTGCCTACATGTGTTACAGACAGCTGTGACCTGCCGTGTGGGTGCTAGCAGTTGAACTTCATTACACCTCTTAACTGCTAAGCCATCTTCCTAGCCCCCTGTCTCTTCTTTTTTTTTTTTTTTTAAGATTTATTTATTATTTATACAACATGCTGCCTGCACACCAGATCTTACTATAGATGGTTATGAGCCACCATGTGGTTGCTAGGAATTGAACTCAGGACCTTTGGAAGAACAGTGAGTGTTCTTGACCTCTGAGCCATCACTCCAGCCCCGCCTGTCTCTTCTTATAAAGGCACTTGTGCCACCTTGAAGATCCACCTCCCAACTTCTTTACAGTAGTCCCAGCTCTGAATCTCCCCACACTCTGGCACCACAGTGAGGTAAAACTATCATGCAGACTTCAGCTTCCTGCCCTTCTTTTAGACAGGCTCATATAGCCCAGGCTGACCTTGAACTCACTCTGTACCTGAGGATAGTCTTGAACTTGTGACCCTGCTGCTTTCTTTCACCTCAAAAGTGACAAGACCACACGCATGCATGCATGCCCAGCACTTTCTGCTGAAAACTTTAAAGTAATAATGAAGAAGGCTACAGGGGCTGGAGAGATGGGCTCAGAGGTTAAGAGCACCAGCTGTTCTTCCAAAGGTCCTGAGTTCAATTCCCATGGAACATGGTGGCTCGCAACCATCTGTAATGAGATCTGGTGCCCTCTTCTGGCCTGCAGGCAGAACATTGTATACATACTAAACCTTAAAAAAAAAAAGGCTGCAGATGTTGGTCTCCTCAGGTCTTTGTGGGAGACAGCAGAGGCTGGCATCTGTGGTGAGGACTTTCCCACTTTTGTGCAAACGAACAAGCCAGATCTAGCTGTGGAATTGTTATGACACCCTGGCTCTGAGTTAAAGGAGGGGGGTGAACGCATCCTTTGTTCCTGGTTTGGCAGGAGAGCACTAGGATGGCTGGGCTGTGCCAACTCCAGGGACATATAAACTTGGTTGAGAAAAACTCAGTTGCTTCGTGAGAGTGAAGGACTTTTGTGGGTCAAGTGTCCTCAGAGTTATCTCAGGGGCAGGGGCTGGAGTCCACGACACGGCAGCTTTCCTCAGGGTTTGGAAGAGGGAGAGTATATTGTCTTCTCTCCCTTTAGGACCTATACCATGATGACAACCTCTAAACTAAAGGGCAGAGGACAAGGCCCAGACACTCAGGACACCCTCCAAATGGGGACACTGAACCATCTATCATGATCCAAGAAGCCAGGTAGGTGTTTTTCTGCCCCTTCTCTCTTTTCTTTTTCCCTCTCATCCCTTCCTTCTCTCCCCTCCTGTGGCCAAGGCAGCCAACATCCCTACTTCCCTGTGTCACCAGCCTTTTGCTGCTGTGGACAAGAAATTCTGTAGCCAGCCTTTGCTACTCTACGGGTTCTTTACTCTCTTCCACCCTTCTCCGCCCCTTTGCTTCTTCCCTTTCAACCCTGTAACACTAGATAGGAGAAAGAAAAGGACAGAGGGGAAAGAGGGCATGTTGGACTACTTCCTGCTAATTAGGGGCTCCGAGTTTCTTGGGACAAGTTTGATCTTCTCCTTCAGGATGTCCAATTTCTTCTTCCTCTTCTTCTTCCTTCTTCTTATTTCTTCTTTGCACAGGACTAACAAACAGGATCCAACAGGATCCAGCCACCAAACAGCCAATAACAACAACCACGACTCAGGGCCCTAGCATTTATATATCCTCTGAAAAGTTCCCAAAATTCCAAACGTCACACACTTGCAGAAAATGTCTGCCGCTGGCAAAACCATGCCGCTGCCAGAACACGAGGCAAATCATAGCCAGCTGCTGTGAAGCACTCCACATAACCCCACATCTGGGATTAAAACAAAAACATATTCCCATCACATTTCTGTGTCTTAAAGAAATCCAAATTACAAAATTCACTCCATGGAATTCTTCTAATCCCAGGCCCAACTCTGGGCAGGGCTGACAGACACAGAGCGTACAGCTCCAAGCCCTGAGAACTAGAGCATTAGAAGCCAGAGTTCTATTGTAGAGGCTTTGGCTCTGGGCTTGATTGCTGGGTGCTAGGCAGCTGGTGCAGCCCTCAGCCCTCAGCAGTAGCTGGGGGCAGGTATGGTAGGTGTTAATTTTACAGCTCTGAAGGTGTCAGACACCTGGGTTATAGCCCCTGAGCCCCAGGCATCAGGTTCCTGAGCTTTTAATGGCAGCCAGTGTTATCATTCTTGACCTTGAGTACCCAGACTCAACAAAGTTGCCCTTGGCCACCTTTCAGCATGAGAATCAAAATCATTGGTACAGACTATCCCAAGGAACGTCAAGGATCTAACCTACCCATTTAGAGTTGTTTCTTCTGCTTACTTTTTGAGTGAGCAGGGAGACACCATCTCATGCTGCCCCTGGTACAACATTACGCTCAAGAAAAGGCTGCTCTGGAGCAATCCTTTCTTGCCTACTGTGGTTGTTATCATTAGTAGAGAGGCTTGGGCGGGTGGCACAAAGAAGAGATATGGCAGCCAGGCAGAAGTGGTCATGGCAGCAGCTGCAGCCTTGGCAGAAGCAGTGACAATAGCAGGAGTGGCAGGAAGGCTGCTTTGAGCTTTGAAGGTCTATTTCACCCATTTAGAGATGGTATGACGGAGGCACACATTTTGCTATGTCTTGCACAGCTTGATCCTGGAATCCTTGGACAATGCAGGAATGAAGAAACAACAGACACACTCAGAAAAGTAGGGATCTAGTGGGTTGTGCTTGCTCTGATGGAGGGCACCTGCTATGCTATCAGCATAGCTGTGTTTACAATGCATAGCACAAGGAGGAGTGGTAGGCTAGTTAGCCAGTCTCAGGGAGAGGAAGCTGTGGTCTCCATACTTTCACACTAGCAAAATTCATACTCCCACCAAGGCAAAAGCTTTGCAATTTCCACAGGTCTCTGGGTTGGGGTGCTTGCCATGTCTATCCATGTTCATATCAATAAGACACACCCCCTCAAATGCTACTCCTGTCAACAGACAGAGAAGAAGCTAGCTCAAGGTCACGCTGTGAGTGTGTCTGCTGGGTTCTACTGTGGAACAAATAGTTTGCCCCCAAAGCAGCTTTTCCTGCCTTTGCTTTTCTGATATTGTGAATGGATTGTCCTCTGGCCCAGAATCAGGCAAAAGGAGTCTGAAATGGAGGAGAGAAGAGCTCAGGAAGAGTCACATATTGGCTCTTGAAACATCTGTACAAACGTGACCTATGTCATTTTTAATATATCTCATCAGATAAATGGAGTTTCACAACCACACCCAAATACAAGGAGATGGGGATACCATCAAGGGCCCAGAAAGAGGGGAGTAGGGCATTTGTAAATATCCCCAAGGCCCACCACGGAGAACTAATAAGACAGGCCTGTAATCATCTCCTGACTCTAGGCCAAGGATCTTTTTTACGAAGTCATTCTGTTTTTCACAGAAGTCACCACGTCTGTATGGATGAGCTATGGCCTGTCTCCCGGCGATGGTTGTGTAAAGAGCTTGGTGTCTTATTCTAAGAGGTCGGACATGTATGGGGAGACAAAGGCTCCATGTTAGGCTGATGTGAGGACAAGGAAGTGCACCAGTGTCTCCTGCCCAGACCTCTTTTTCATCTGTCACCCAATGCCCTGGGTGAGTCTTTCCCAGGCAACATGGCTGCCAGACAGCATAGCCCAGTAAGGAAACCATTCCTCTGAGTGGATACAACCTTAGGGCAAAAATCACACAAAGCCTTTGTCTCGCGTGCTGCCCAAGGCTCCAAGGCTTTGGAAGTTTATCTTAGTTCCGATCCTGGCTCTGCCTTGACCTTGCTATTTGACCTTGCACACTTTGTTCTCTCTCCCTTGGCCTGAGTTATTCAATCTCCTCCAGGGACAGTGGTGTCATCCTAGGGATTATGGGCGTGAGCACATTGCAGGACTTAGAAGCTCTGTGTCTGTGCAGAGGCGACTGCTGGAAGTCTGACAGGGGAGAAGAGCCTGGAAGGAGCTGGAACTAGTGTCCAGTCAGCCCTGGCTGCATGCCCAGGATATACAATGAATGTAGCAAGGCTGGCTCATGGGTGGGCCTCCCAGTCTCTACAGTTAGCTGTGCTGTCTCTGGAGATGTGAGGATTAGCTAGCCTAACAAAGTGTTGTTCTGGTGATGAAGAAATATACCCCAAAGCAGTTTATTCCAGCATATATAGACCACCATTTAATCAATCCATCTCCGACTATTTGCTATTCATGTTGCTTCTGATTTTTAAGTATTATAAATAATCGTGCCATGAATAGTTTTATAATTAAAAAAAAAGTTATGCATTCATGATGGCTTCCTACTGCATATGGAATTACTAGCTCACAAACATCAGTCATTATTTTAGGCTTCTGCTTTGTAAATGCCCTTTGCCTGCTATCAAACTCTTCCCAGCAGGGTCTTGGTGAGTTTCAGTCTAGAGGGAGAGAATTAGGCTGGAGAGACGGTTCGGCAGTTAGGAGTTCTTGCTGCTTTTCCAGAGCTCCCAGGTTTCCATCCCAGCACCCACATCAGGCAGCTTGGAACTGCTTCTACCGGGGAACTGGTTTCTCCGGGGGATCCAGTGACCTCACGTGCAGGTGTCTACACACGTGCATCATACAGTCACACAGACGCATACACACTAATAAAAAAAAAGCTACATCTCTGGAAAGAGAAAATTAGCTTAGAGAGAGAGCAGATGGTTTATATTAGTTAAGACTTGGGCCCACTATAAGCAGAAATCCTTAAATGATAGTATTTCGAACCAAATAGAAATGTATTTCTCGGTCATATAATAGAAGGCTGAAGTCACAGAGTCTAGGGAAGGTGAGCAACTTTACCCAGCCATTGCTCATCACTGGCCTCTACCTCATGACCCAACAAAGCTGCCCAAGGGCTCGCCATCCTGTTAACATTCCAGCCGCCAGGCTGAAGAAGAGGAAGGCAGATAACATTTCACTTGCATCCCACTGGCCAATCTCCTATGATGTGCGTCTAGCCGTTAGGGGGGCTGGGATGGAGTCTATTCTGGATGACCAGGGGATAGCTGGGGGTTATAGTACTAAGAAAGAAAGGAAGAGCAATATTAAGGGATGGCTACATGTCTTTGTCATAAAGTTAACCCCGGCTGAAAGCAGCACATGTGGACCATGGAAACAGCATCCTTAGAGCCCCGTATATTTCAATGAACTGATAGTCCGTTCTGCTTTAGCCAAGGTTAGTTATGGATGGGAAGCAGGCCCATCTCCGAAGCTGATCGTGAGCAGATGCGTCAGCACACCGTGGAAGAGGCCAAGCTACTTCTTTGCTGTGATAGAGTATATTGACAATAGAGAAAGAATTAGTGTGGCTCACAGCTCAAGGGTACAGTGGGGAAGTCAGGGAGGCAGATGCGTGAAGTTGTGGATGAATCCACTGTCAGGAAGTGGAGAGTGTCTAATGCCAGCCCTCAGCTCTTTCCCTTCACTTCCTGCAGCCCGGGATCTCCTGCCCAGAGAATCGCCCCATCCACAGGCAAGACGCAGCTTCCCACATCAATTAACGTAGGGTAGATAAAACCTTCCACAAATACAGCCGAGGATTGTGTTGGGCTGACAGTTAACATAAATCCTCACAGGCCACTTAACTCACTACCCCAGCTTGCCTGTCTCCCCTCGTCTCTGCAGGACCAGCTTCTGATGGACTCCGAGAGCTTCCAGCTGGACAGTGAGAGCCTGTGGGCCTGGCTTGTGAACCTGCTGAGCCAAAACTCAGAAGGGCTGAGCGACAAGGTTAGGTTCTTCATCCCTACCGTGGACCTGGACTGCAACAATGAGGCCCCCGACCCTGAGGTCATTCGTCAGCAGCTCAACATGCTGTATACCCAAGGCCTGGCCACCTGGAAGACTTTCATCCACTGTGTGTGCATGGAGTGTGACGTGCCTCTGGAGCTGGAGGTATCACTGCTGAGCATCTGGGGCCAAGAAGATGGTAAGGAGGCTCACACGGGAGGCACGGGCTGCTGGCACAGTCCTGTGACCCGCAGTACCCCCACGACCCCCAGGAACACATCTGGTCATACAGTGAGGACATAGAAGAGCCATACCCTTCCAAATGCCCTCCCTGACCAAGAGGCTTCCTTCTGTAGCTGGAGCACCCCAGCCTCTACTGATAAGCAGGAAAGTTTGACTGTTGCATCCAGCACCTTGAACATAGTGTTGAGGAGGAGTACAAGATACTGAAGGACAGGAATCCTTAGACAGAAAGTAGGAACTCAGCTGTTGGCGTTCTTTTTAAAACTATTTTCTTTCCGTTTCTTAATATCTTTTTCTCCCTATGCCACCCCAATGCCGTCCAACACCCCAACACCAGGTAGGAGAGAGAAAGGGTTAGTGGAAGAGGGGACGCAGTTCTCTTAGCTACTTCTTGCTGGTTAAGGTCGTTGGGGTCCTTGTGAAAAGTCCAATCTTCATTTCAGGAGATCTCCAACTTCTCATCCTGCTACATCAACTGCAATCAGGGGCAGCGAGGGTGGACACCAGCAGACCTCTTCCTTCTCGGTGCTCCCTTCTCTCTCTCTGGGCCCTGGCAATTGTTCCTTCTCAGAATCCTCAGAATTGAACTGCCTACAGCTGGGAAAGAGCCCCTCTCAGAGCCCACATCTGGCAAATAGTTTGCTGCTGTGGATCATCTGCATCAGTCCCTTATCCTACATCTGGGATCAAAACAAAAACCATGTTTACACCCATAACACAAAACCATGAGTTCTACCAGTATAGAGATACACACACACACACACACACACACACACACACACACACACACACAC